ATCCTTCCCAATATGATTTGCAGTTACGGGGATATAGCGATTCATATAGGGTTACATGCTCAGATACAAGATGATCCACTACAGGTTACCGTATTTCCCTGGGACAATCACTTATAATCTGAAAATCAAAGAACAGGGGACTGTTTCTTGTTCTTCATCTGAGGCTGAGTACCGAGCCCTTGCTCAGCATACCTATGAGATTGTTTGGGTGAAAAGACTTCTATAGGAGCTGTATATTGAACATCCAAAGCCAGTAGAAGTCTTATGTGACAATCGATCAACCATTAACATCACTGAAAACTCTGTGTTTCACGAGCAAACGAAACACATTGAGGTTGATTGTCACGTAGTAAGACAGTTTCTTCAGTCCAAATTGATCCGCCTCAGCCACCTAGAGACAGAGAACCAAGTAGGCGACATGTTTACAAAGGGGCTGAGCCAGCATCGTCTTCAGTTTTTGTTATCCAAGCTGAACATACACGACATACATACGTCAGCTTGAGGGGGCATATTGGAGAAAAAGATGTTGTTGATGGATTTCCAATCCGCAACGCTAAAGGACTCTTGGACGTCACCGTTTTCTCTCAGAAGCAATTGATGGGCTGAGTAGAGACTGTGTCATTTTAGTTAGTGGCTGTCATTTTCCATTTTTAATGTAGATAAATACGTGTCTTCTTTTTATTAGTTGGTAGATTTGATTCGTTTATTACTGTTGTAAATACTTAGGGTAATTCTATGTTCCCTTCGTGAAAAAGTTGACAGAGATGGTATATATACAGACAATAGCCACAAAGATCCTTTTGTGGGTTCTTTTTCAATATTGATCCATTGCAAAGTTTCACACATGGCGACCTTGAGGAGGAAATATATAAGGATCCGTCCATAGGTCTGGAATCATATGAACCTTTGAAGGGAAATGTTTGTCTTTATCCAAAAAGGGGGAAAGGTTTGGATTTAGTTTTGTCTAATCTCAAATTATTCCTTATTCACTATAAGACATCAATAGAGGATTGGCAATAGTACGGGTTTATGTTGATGATTTGACCATGTCTATAAATTATCTTGACCTCATTAATGAAGTGAAAGGATATATAAGTTCAGAGCTCAAGGTTAGAGACCTAGGAAGATTGAAGTACTTCCTAGGATTATAATTGTCAAGGTGTGAGAATGGTATATCATACCTCGGAAAATATTGATTCGTGTTGCTTATTGATTCAGACTTTGTAGATTCCAAGCCTATAAAGACACGAGTAGACAAGAGGAGTAGACTGTCATGTATTGATGGTGAACCAATGGATGACGCCAGAAGTAATAGAGGATCGGTTGGATGACTTAGTTACTCGGCTACAACAAGACTAGATATTGCATACTCTGTCAAGCAATTGAGCCAATTTCAATCAAAACCAAGAACTTGTCATTTCTGTCCAAGAGCTTGTAGGATTCTAAGATACATCAAGCAAGCCCAGGATAGGGTTCATTCTTTCCAACAAGTACCCAAATGACCATACCTAGGTACAATGATTCAGATTTGGGTATCTATCTTGACACCATACGACCAATGAGAGGTTATTACACGTTCATATGGAGTTTACTTATCACCTAGAAGGAAGAAAAGCATAGCACAATTTCAGAATCATCTTCTAAGGCATAGTACAGTACATTGTTACAACAATCTTGTTAAGTCCAATGGATCAAACAAATGTTACCGGACTTTCACATACAACATGATGATCCTATTTGAATCTAGCGTGACAGCAAATTGATGATTCACTTGGCAAAGAATCCAATGTTTCACTTAAGGACTAAACATATAGAAATTGAATTCCATGTAAAGCGAGAGACTACATTGTTGGAATTAACACAGAGAATGGACGCAATCATTTAATTTGTAGATATACAAGTGGCAACACATGATTTGTAGATAGACTAGTTTGTCTTATAGTGTAACTGTTAGAGTTTAAAAGTAGGAATGGATTATGCAGAGTATCTCAGTTCATTCTTTTTAAGCAATATAGAAAAGAAGATCGAGCCTTTCTAGCATACATTCAAACTATCCTCCGTCTGTAAACGTTCTAATGAGTCCAAAAATTTCAAGAACAATTTTTCCATTTAGGCAGTCTATCGAGGGCCAAATTAAAAAGTGTGGAAAAAAGGACTTAGTTATGGATCTATTGATTCAAAGAGGTCGAAAAGAATGTTGTAGCTACGAAAGAGATCCAAGATCAGAAGGCAAGTCATCGGGAACACTTTGCATGTGTCCTTTTAGGTAGGTGGCTAGACAAAGTGAAGGAAAATTTGAGGGAAGTCGCAATGGTTGTGATCAGAGCAGGAGAGGTAGCGGTGGTTGTTCAACAAAGGGTGGGGGGGGACTAAGTTTCAGACTACACAAAAAGAGTAGGAGGTGGTGAATAAGGGGGAGAAGGCAGATACATTGTTAAGATGAGTGAGATATTTTGTTTTTCTAATTTTCAAATTTATTTATGCAGCAAATTGTTTACTACGTGTTATTAGATTCTATGTGTGACACATAGGTGGCTAATAGATTGATGTCATGTCATTAAAATTCAAACAAAATATGAGCAAGATCTAGTCAATCTTTAACTTTAACGGTCGATAAAATAAATGGGGAACTAAAATGCCTTCAGACATGCACCAATAAACAATTTTTCCCCTTTTATTATTCAAAATTTGGCCACAAATTCCATAGATGAAAATGACAAGTTTTTCGTTGATACCTTTTTAAAGGTAAAAATTGATCAATTCTTGTAGATCATTATTGTTCAGCATGTTACATTTTCAAATACTATTTTTTCCCTTGAAGGTGGAAAAAACGAGATAGAAAGCACCCATCTTTTCCACTTGAAGTGGATAACATGAAAGAAAAGTGAAAAGAAACAAGGAAGAGATGATAAAATAATGAAATGTGTAGTAGAAAATGTCATTCTACTCGGACATGTTGTACACTAAATTAACTAGTTAATATTTATAAAAAATCATGGAAACATTTTTCCACAAATATTTTCGTAGTAGCATTATTATGAAAAGAAAACTTACTTTCAACCAAAAAAAAAAAACTTACGAATTATTGATTAGTTTCTTATCTGTAAAATGACAATGATATTGGGCTCTCGATAAAAAGAATCTTCCTCAGTGACAGCAACAAACTATTTGCAGAAGTAAATGAAGCCAGACACAATAATTGGTACAAATGTCAACCCCATTATCCAGATGGTGGCAATAAAGTTTTCATCAACGTATTTTGTCGCCAAAAATGAGACAAAGAGGACTGCAAATAAAGAAGAAAAAATTATTCTAGTGTAAAAAGTCATGATCATATATCGTACCGTCGTATTTGAAAATATATACTTGAAATATATTAAGAAAATGATAATTTGTATCATGATCCACATATATAATGTTTATATTTATTATTGATATTTAATGTAAAATTATTCACATGATCGGTAATGAAAATGTTTCAAATGAATATCAGTTTATTATATTAGCATGCTGATTGACGTTATATTACTAAATTAATATAAAATTAACTAAACAAATTGTTAGATTCTCAAAAAAATTGTAGCAGATATATGTGTTTCATTTTCTATTTTCTTTTGCTTGATATATTTATTTAATGTGCACTAATATTCTTATCATATGAAAATGTGATTCCTAATGACGCATCAAATTATAACGTCTCAAAGTAAAAACTCTAGGCTAATGTTTAAACTTTCAAGGCGCAAAGGAACTAAATTCTCTTTTGATTATGCATAACTGAATTGTGAAGATATTCACATAAATAAATAATGAATCGCTATTTGTTGCACTAAAATTCAAATTTTATCGCCCTAAAGTGCATCAAATTAACACTTTTACCCTTTGGCCCAATTTCTAATTAAAACCCTAAACAAACCATCTCGTACCATGCCCAGCCACCGCCGAGCTCTTCTGTCCTCTGGCCGCTCATGTTACTGTCGGATTCTTCCTTCCGACAGGTGCCCACCTCAACCCGACCGTCGCCGGTGCGCTGTTTCTACTGCCGGAGTCGACCCCAAGCAGGAGGAAGTAGGCGAAGAAGAAGAAGAAGCATGTCGCCCAACTTCTCTGTCCTGGTGAGAATTCTTTTCTCTAGCCCACTTCCCACCTCAACCCCACCACCCCCGCTTCTCTACTGCTGTTGCCGGATTCCTCTTTTGGTACCAAGCAAAAGGAAGGACACGAAGGAGGAAGGAGGTTTTAGGGTTATTTTTTGTTTTACCGGTGAAGTATGTTTGGAATGATGAATATGATATGTAAGGATCTGAGCATGAAATCTCTGCATTTTTTACTTTTTAACTACAGAACTCTGAATCCATTCCACGAGGAAGCTTGCCCCTGTCATCAACTTCTTTGCTCTAGAGTCACAAGCATTTCCAAGTTCTCCGCACTTCTCTGAATCTTCAACATTACTTCGTCTCTGACGTTGTAATCATCCAATACTCCATCCAACTATGTTTTGCTTTTCACCTGATTGCATAATGCAGCATTTATTAGTTGATTCAGATTCTAGCAAGCTTGGCACGGGTTCTGACCTGTCCCAACTCGCTGGAGACGGGGTTTTAACCATTCCTGCGATTCCCTCCCTTTACATGTTTCTGATAGGTAAAATTAACCTAAGGATAATTGAATAATTTTAATAAATATTAGGGCGACGAATAAGGTGTTTTAGGGCGACGAATAGCAATGCCCAATAAATATCCACTACAGGAAAATACACCTTTCAGTCACGGGATTCTTTTGCTACGGGTAGAGTCCCATGATCAAAGGTAAACTATTTGTCATGGGGAGATTTTCCCGTGACTTGTGCTTGTTAAACAACAATGCCGGTAACTTTCTCGTGACTGTTGGTGGGTGGAGCGAAAACATGAAGGGCCACTGGGCGGGAGCCAAAACTATGTTTGGCGCTTTTTCCCATCCGAAATTTTTTAAAGTTCCCGCTTATTATTTTCCTCATCTCTTAACTCAACTTTACCAATTTCATAAGAAAAGTCAATTTCCCTTTTCGTGTCCTCAAAGCTCCTTCCTTCTCTTCCTCTATCGTCATCCCTCGCCGTCCAGCCCACCAATCCGCCGTAAATCGAAACCATTCCGTCAAATTCCACCCAACTTTGCCTCCGTTCCCCTCTGTTTCGACCCTCACTCTCGCTCCAAATCTAGTCAGGCTCTTATCATAAAGAAAAAAACCATTTATGAACTCGATAAAGAAGAACCCATAAAGCATCTCATTTGATGCTATTGCTGGAAGACGACTGGAGAAGAATGGAAAAGTCGCCTGGCAAAAGAAATAATAAGAAGGAGAGAAAGATTATCAATCCAGTTCTACAACAACGCTTTTCGATTTCATGGAATCGGGCATGAAACGGGAAAGCAAAGGAGGCCATGCAATCATTGACTCCCAGAACCCTCATCTTCCACGCTTAAGCTCTGAGTCCTTCCTCATGATCCATCCCCACATCTTCCACCTCGCATCCTCTCTTGTTCTCACTTCAGCTTCCCTTGGTTGTTGTTATAGTTTGGTTTCCAGCTTTGTCTATGTTCAATTAGATCTTTCTCTTTGGGGTTCTATTATGGTCCGATTCAATTCAAGTTTATCGATTTTTGCTTCCTCTGTTTTTGATTCTTGCTTCACTTTCGTGACTTAGTTAAGGGTTTGTATCTCTAGGTGTATTAGGTTCATTTTGCGTTAGATTATTTATCGTTCTTATTCTTGCTTGCTCCCATGCTTATTTTGCAGATTTTCTCATTGTTGCTTCTCATCCGTTTGAGGAGAGGAACTGGTTCAAAACCATGTTTTACGTGGAACAAACCAAGTACATGAAAGGAACAAGCCTACAAAGATTATATGTCTGGGAGATTTTCCTTTTATTTCAAGAATGGGTTTGGAGCAAAGCAGCAGCTTATTGCTATCATTGATTATGTGCTGCTAGCTTTGGGTTGTCAGGTAAGAGTCAATAAATTTAAAATGTGTAACAACTTGTTCTAGTTTGTTGGAGTCCGTAGTTAGTGTCTGCGTTAGTGGGCTTAGATGCAGCTGAGATTAGAGAAGTCAGTTAAAAATATGTAGATGTGCAGTTTGTACTTATGTTGGTTTTCAGTGTTCAATAAAAATTAAGGTTTTTGCTCTGCTAATCATGTATTAAGCTTGACCTCTGTATGCTTTCCTTTATATTTATGTTGCAATGTTTTCTTTGTTGGAAGGATTCAAAGTATGTCATCTACTGGCATCAGGTTTGGTTTTGTGTTGTGATTTTTTTTTTTTGTGTCTATCTCTATCTTGCTTTCGTACTTTTTTGGTGTTCCTCTGTGTTTGGTTCTATGAATGCACGATCTGCATATTCTACTCCATCACTCCATATTGTCACTCAAGGCGACATCTCTTACTTCTGAAGTGATTCTGTGAGAGCAGTTTATGTGGGAGCAGCAGTCGATGCCCTCCCCAACAGTTCAACTCCATCTTTGACACAAGCCACTCTTGTGAGACTGATCAGCGATGGAAGCACGACAAACTAGGAAGAAATTATTGGTTCTAGATATGTCAATAAAGGTGTTGTATAGCCTTTTTGGGTGTTGTGGGAGTTTCTTCAGGGAATTAGGATCATCAGTGATGTCGATCTTGCCTTGCTGACCTTTTTAACTCCCAGTTTATTTGCTTCTTTAATTAGATGAATCACTGCAATTATCAGTAAGAGCAACATGATGTAATTCTTTATTAGAGCATTAACCTATAAGCAGGTTAACTATGATTAATGTTGGTAAGTTGCAAATTATGTTGTTTTACCTACACTTTGATTGCAGCTTTTCGTTTTTGGAATGAAATTTCATGATTCTCTAACAACTCAAATTAAATGACTGTCCATGTCTTACCATTTCTCCCTCGGTTTGTTACACTTTTTGCAGCGTGTAGAGAGTCATGGATAGATTGCGAGAAGATTTGGTTCATGAAAAGTTCTTACATTTATACTTTCCAGTTAGAACTAAGTATTATATCTCCAAGCTATATGTTTTAGAATACAACACTTGGAACCCTTTTGTAGAAGCATCTATATGTTGATGTGAGACAAGAATCGATGTAATGTCATTGGGAATTCATTAATGTACAAGATTATTATTGTTTAATGAATTGACCTTAATGTTAATATTAATAATTATGTCACATCAATTAGAATGAATTGGCCTTAATGTTAATATTAAATATTATGCCATATCAATTAGAATACGACTCATTACAACTTCATAACCGCATCATTCCTCTGGATTTTAGTGAAATCCCATAAAAAATAACCCAATTAGTCACGGGAAATCCTGTGGCTATTTTATAATTTAGTCACGGTAGTTTTCGCGTGTTTAATTTTAAGTCATTGTAATTACCTTGACAAAATAGATCTTTCGTCATGGGTAATTTCCCGTATTTTCGCGGTCGCGGGATTTCCCGTGACATTTGATCTTTGATCGCGGGCACGCTTGACACGGGAATATACCGTGACAAAATCTTTCCATCACAAGAATCGGTTGTTCAGTCAAGGGAAATCCCGTAATCGAAGGTGAATTTTACAATGGCATGTCTAATAAGGCAATCCCGAATAAAGTTGTAAGAACTTATTGAGAATTCATATGGACAACTAGTCATTATTAACAGAATCTCAAATCAAAGGAGTTATTATGTGGTGCATGTTCTAGATGAGAATAGACTATTTCACCATCGCTTAAGGAAAGTAATCGAATCTTTTGAAGTTTTATGAAATGTATGCAAAAAATACACTCATCACGCCGATTGTATATAAAATTTATAATTTAAATTAAACCTGGACTATATGATCAACATGTGTCTTTGTGGGTATTTGATCGGTAGGCTTAGCTTTATTCTCTTTGGAAATGGTTTGCTAGCTAGTTAGCATGTGGTATCATTAATTCATCTTTATGAGAACAATCTATGCCTACCTATCGTGGGCATGCTAGTTAACATGTGGTAACATTAATTCGCATCAAGTCAACAGTTATCTTAAGTTTTCCTTTTTATACAAATAGGTTTTGGTCAGTAGCCTAACATTTCCCATTCGAGAAAATTTGATGTGTGGCTTACATCTCAATTGTTCCACCATAACACGTTAATATGAGTTTTCACTAAAAAGTTGTGAGGTTATGTCGGATTTGAGTCTCCATCGCTATGAGAAATTTGTTCACGACTCTCTTTACTGATTATCAAAACTTTTATGAATCAAATTTCCAATATCAAGGGGGAGAAAAATAAATAGTTATTGAAGAAAAAACATGAACCCGAAGTTATGATCCTCAAGGGGGAGGAAACAAACGTAGAGATGAGTTGGAATGAACCATCATTATCTTATTGTATATCTTCAACCTAACAAACGTGAACTCAAAGTTCAAATGATGATTCATTGAGGAAATAAAAAGAATATCAATTGGCCACCGCCTTTTAATAACCAAGAAGAGTGTGACTATGTCACATGTCCCAAATATGAAAGCTCCAATGAAACTTGATGTTCCTATTTGATAATATAATATTTAAATGAGTCTAAAAGAGCGTACGAAGTGTGACATACTAACTGCTTCAATGGTAAATATACTCGAGAAAGAAAATGAGCTAGAAATCAAGATGGTCAAATCATGGATATCATAACTCCAAAAGAGTCATGAAGCGTAACAAGGTTGTAGTTCTATAAGAATATCAAGTACCTGTAAGTTATGAAAATAAATATATATGAATTTGGTATCTCTTGGATGGAAGCATTGGAACTGCAGTAAAGTCAACGTTGATGAGAATTTTTGTTGTACTTCAATATTGAATATGATACACACAAATGAGGATCAAGAGTAAAACTCTATTGATGCATTACAAATGAAGTTATTGGCTGATATAGAGGAAAAAATGAAATTAATAGAACGTTATTGACCAAGCCCTTGCACCTGAAGATGTAAAACTAGTGAGTTACAAATGAGTATTTTTGTGTGAGCATGCAATGGAAGAGACGTAGCACAACTGTCACTCTAGGTATTTCACATATACCTTAGGTTAAATTATGAGGAGACATACTCCCTATGTTGGAAGCAAATATGTTTTGAAATTGGATTAATATGGGATTTAAGAAGGATGAAATTTGCATTGTTAGTGTTGTAATAGCCTATTTGTATGGATCCCCCGATAATAATATTTTAATGAAACTCTCTAAGGGATTCGTTTTTCAGAAGTAAACATGTGGCTTTCTTGGAAATATTTATTGGTCAAATGAAACAATCCCTTGTGTGGATTGATGCAAAATGGATGAACATGATATATCCATACAAGTGAATTGTAGCTAAAAGAAGTGGTTGAGCGGTTCTTTAGGGACTAAATCTAGATCGAATGTATTTGAAAATTTGCATTAGTAATGTGCAATTATGTGATGATATCAGGGACGGATCTAGGGGACCGCCCCCGGGCCTGACCCACTCGTAAATTTTTTATTTTAGGTATTCGTTTCAGTGATCGTTGAGTTACGGCCCAGTCCTCTTCACCTTGTTTCAAATGTGGCCCAGTGGCTCTACCCTATCCAGGATCCTCCGCTGGATGATATGCGATGTTTTTGTTTTAATTTTTTGTATGAGTTTTGAATAATGGGTGTGATTTGGTTAGTTGACATTGTGTGTATGCCATGATTTTTGCTTATATTTTTGTGTTGTGAAGTAATTGGTTGCATGCAACTATATTAGCTGAGGTCATATAGTTATTTAGAAGAAAAAAAGTCAAAAATTTATTTCATAGCATTTTCATATTGTGTTGATAATAAAATTATATTGAAAATCCACAAGAACTTCATAAAGCAATGGATTACTTAAAGAAAGAAATCGAACATGAAAGAATTAAGAAGAAACTTTTGTGGACAAAGAAGGTAATGTTGAAAAGGTGAAAAGAGCAATTTTATATGAAATGCCATACATTCAGTAGTCTAACGATCCTAAGATCACAAGAAGTGAACAAAGATCAATTTCGGCCTTGAGAAAGAGTGTGAATTAAGTGGTCATGAATTACCGTTATTGGTGTCATTAGAGCGCTATCGTATCTTGCTAGCCATACACAATAAGAAATATAATTTGATGTTAATATATTAGCAATATGTATTTCTCTTTCATAGTTAACGTTTGAATAGAGTTAGACTTGTACTTCGTTACCTTTGGGTAACGAGTAACGACGAGGATCGAAGATGAGTTATTTGTTACCTTATGGCCGTACACCTATCTCATAAAGATTCCAAACAAATCCTAATAGCTACATCATCTGATCATGCACAATGGCTAGCAATTCAAAAGGCTTGTTATGGATTGTTTAGTTACGATTTGTGATTCAATAGATCTAAATGACTTGTGGGTATGGAGTGTGGACTATGTTCAGACAAAATGACCTTAACGATCATTTATGAAGAAAATTGTCATAATAATCATGCATCAAGTGACAATCTAGAAGCGCTGGTTATGAAGACATTTTCCGTGATAATATTTGAAAATTTTGTTCATAAAGCTAGACTTTGACATGCCATAGATTTGAACTAATGTATTCAAGAGGGAGGCATATACTTATTAGCTCACTTTCAAGTGCAATAATAATAGAAATTATAAGGGTTATGTAAATGTGTCTATAAATATAACACCTCATTAGACTACCAGGTGTATATACTAAAACTACGTCGAAAATCTATCATTCACTCTCAATCCCATGGAGAAATGAGGAAGTTTATCGAAGTTGCAACTAGCAAGAGAAACAAAGACAAATGTGAACAAAATGAAGGAGGCACTATAAGAAATTAGGGGGGGATTAATCTTTAAGAATCCTATGGTCGTCCATTTTCCTTTCCAGAAAGCAATTATCAGCAGAACCAAGTTGCAATTTGGGAGAAGTCGGTTATTTATGACTTCAGTATCAGCATGGTCTAGTGGAGGTGGAGGAGACAAGTAATGTAATTGTACATAAGCACATAAACCACCAGGATATAATGGAGAGAGCAGCAGTAACAGTAGAACTAGCGTGTGACTGATCTGGATCCATATCATGATTGGCGTCTTGAATGTAAATCCGAATCTTCACCAAACATATTTAAGAACTGAGGCTAATTGAAATCAATGCGTTTGGTAGTAATTTTCCCATGACAGTAGAAAATAAAGTTTTTCAGAAAATAGAACTGTGCACGACAAAGAAAGGGAACTGCCATATGTGCCTGTAATGCTCTAGCGTGATGCAACTCTCACAATGGACCTCTCAAGGAGGCCTTGAAAATCTCTGCAGGCTGCAGCTACCATCCATGAACATCAGAAAAACTCTTGCAGAGATTTGAGACAAACTTTTCCCCATTCAATGGCAGATTAGCCTGATGGCTTGTACTTAACTTTGTTTACCTCTATGAATTAGTGGCGTTATAATCCCATTGCTTGATGCCTGGGCTCCAGAGGATGAAGGATGCGGTAATAGTACATACAATCGCAAAGATATGACCATCACTACATAACCTCTTCTCCCACTGGGTCAACAGAGAAATGGATGGGAAGTGATCTTCTGATTATCGTCTCCAATTTCGATCTCCAGGCTTACTTTTCCGAATGATGTTTGGAAGTTCCATAGTATTGATGATAGTTGACCAGCATGAAATTGGAAGAAAGAGTAGTCATCATGAAGCCAAGTTAGGGGTTGATAAGGAGGGGGGAAAGAAGCTACTTACGGCATTGTATTCCTTGCTTTCCATGAATAACTCAAATGCCTCAGCTGCAACACACGCTGAGCAACAAAAGTACAAAACCCATCAAGAGATTGGACGTTGGAATTAACTGAATATATATGAATGAATGTGAAAGGTTTCCTACATGATCGGAATCTTATGACTACTGCATGTGTATAGTCCTTACTGCTCGGATGGAAATTTGAACATGCATCACAGACAAAGTAGAAGGTTATAGAAACCGCGACAGATGTTCAAAGCATATACTCTAGCTTGTAGGTGATAATAAGAATTTCAACTTTCAGTCCTACCATGAGTGGATTGGACAATTAACGATGGGAATTTTTTGGTCAGCCGAGCAAGAGATGCCAATGCATCTTCCACAGGGGCACCAAATGAACTCTCATCAAATGCAATAAGATGAAGAAACTCTAAACCATAGTTATACTCCTGCCAAACAAAAAATATTTTTCAGAATGGAGTAGCATAATTATACCATACCCATGAAGAAAAGGAATGCACTGAGTGCATGGGAGAGAACATAGACAAAGAAGATGGAATGCATGCACAGAGTAAGTGGGGTTTCCTACCTCCCCTTTAAGAAATATAGGAATGATATCATCTTCAACTTCAGACTCATAATCTATGTAAAGCTTTTCCTTCAAAATAGATAGCCACTTTTGATTAAGATAAGCACCACATAATGCAAGGGCACGAGTAAAAATAAATTTGTTAATGAAAACTTGGGGTGTAGAGCAATTTAGTGGGGCGTGTTAACATTCTCAGGGCATACATTGCAATGAGGCGTTACATGCTCCTTGAGAATTCCCAAATAGAATGGGTTCTCATAGAACTTGGCAACATCTTCCTTTCTTTGGAAACGCATGAAAACAACATGGGTATAGTTTTCTACATTTTCATTGGAGATGCGTCCTACATAAGCCAAAACAAGACATCTACATGATTTGAAGGGAAGAAACAAGACCCAAACGTCGCCATATGAACATTAACTAGACTTATAGGGGAAAATAAATATGGTTTTTGTCTTAGGGTTCAGGAATAGAGAAAACAATTGTAGCTGAGGCCTAGGGGGTGAAGTATGAATGGATGAAAATTGAAAAGGACTTACCCACAGAGATGGCAACAATTCCACGCATTTGATATTGGCAAGTATACAGATAATCCAACATATCCTTCTCCTCAGCCTCGGTTAAATCTTTCTTAGTTTTGAGTAGGCATAGATGCTCCACTACTTTTCTGCTCGACAGAGATGACAACAAAAAAACTGCATAAGCTACATTTGAACAAAAAGCGAGCATTGAACATCTTTATCATTGCACATCGACTACGAATTCAATGATGAAACTATAGTGACTTGCATATGTAACTGATACTTTCTGTTTTGAACAAACTTGTGAAACAGAAGACAAATAGAAAGCCTTTGACCATCGAAAAGCATTAAAAAACATTCCTTTGAGCTGAAATCCTAGATCCATCAACACCCTTCATCGTATAACAACCAACTCAAAAGTTCATGACACCATAAAGACAACAACAAAGGAGCCATATCCGAGTACAATTACCATCACCAAGTGTAGAGGATAAAGATTCATAGTCAAAAGTACCAACCTCGTCTTCTCCACACTGAAGCTTGAATTCCCAGCACAATTAGATGCTGAAACCATTCTAATTTTTCGAGATGACACACTGTTCAATCTCACTTTGGTAGCACCATCCAGCAGCGAAACTGCATGCCCATTCCACACACAAAAAATTCACCACATATAACGAAAACCCAAGTGAGGCAATTCATCGAACACCTAGCAGACAATCACTATACTGAAATCGAAAACCAGCTTACACACTCACATTTGCATGAAACAGGAAATGATAGCGGACCCGAATCCCGACTCGAAGGAGGATGGGAGTTGGGAACAGAACAACTCCCAGAGTGAGTTGAAGATAGAGCACGACGGAGCAGCATTTTCCTGCAGGCAGGTCTCTACCTCAATGGGAAGGACAATGTCAAGATTGCTGCTTCTTTGCTAGCTTTCAATTTTCAGGTATCAGAAACCTGAAGAGGAATGAGTGTTTGAGGATTCATGGGAGTGATTTGTTTGAAGATTTGTGTGGTGTGAAGGGATTTTGAAGGGAAAGAGAAACGGGTGGACGACGGAAATTAACGGGTTTTTAATATTTTAAAATTGGCGCCTTCATCGAGAATTTCACTAACTGTAATTTTTGCTCGTTTGCGCCCTGATGACTGTGTTGGGCCTTGAATATAATTATCTGGACTGAACTTAGCCCACCTATTTCGCCCCATTGTACTCATTTGGGCTTTAACCGTTTAGTTCTGCCCAGAATTAGAAAATACAAGCCACAAACGTCAAATCCATACGAGAAACTTAAAACATCTATATCACTAGTAAATTCGTACTATTGATGGGGGGGGGGGGGGGAGGGGAGAATACGTAATGTAGAAAGCATTTATTTGAAAAGTTCAATAATTTTGTAAGTGGGTTTGTGAGAATTCAAATAAGATTGAAATACATTGCTTGGATAGTATATATTTTGTGGTGAGAGCCACATAAAGTGAGATGAAGTCTAGAATAATTTTGGTTTAGTAAAAAATATTGGATATATCATGGTAGAATTCTCAAATTATATGATGTACCAATATTATGGTATTTGTTTTAAAATGAAACAGAAAAAACAATGAAACGTGAGATATCATGTATTCTTAGAATTAGAGGGTCAGATAACCTTGTTGTCACAAACAAACCGTTTTCTACTTTTCTAGAGAATATATCCAACAATACTGGAAATTCATAACAGTAACTAGAGATTTCATGCCAACAAAAATAATATTTAGTAAACTACTCATAAAAAAATCATTTAAACAACTATTGAATACATTACATAAATATAGATATTCATTTCAAGCGGCAACGATTATGAACTGAAGACGGTGTTATGTAATTAATGGTCAACCATGATCGACGACGAAGGACAAAATTTCATGAATGACAAACGACAATGGCGGCCAGATTCTGATACCTAGCATCTACAACCGATTACGATTTACGAGTAACATTTACCATTAATATTAGATAAAATTTTCCTGTATTACATAACTATGCATGGAATCCTTTCGATCACCCTAACTTATCGTGTTCCTAAACTTCTTTTTATAGATAATGGCGATTAAAACTTAATTGAGCATGAAATTCTTTCTCAACCTATCATTCCTAAGCTTGCTGGCACCATGAAGAGTTTGTATGAGTTTATATCGCAAAATGTACCCCGAAGACAAACCTTGCCTTGTTTCATAGGTTTTGTCACATTTCTTTAATATTTTCTTATGGTTAATACTTAATACTTAACTGGGAATCAAATTGACAATTGGCAATATCTATGAACTCTTTTTTATCCCTCAGTTCCAGTCCAAAGTTGGAAGTCGTCCAGCCAGCCAGCAGTGTTTGTTTCCAAAATCCAATCAACAAAATATCTATTTTGGATAAGCATTTTCTTAGTTAGCTCCTCCAATCCTCAGGGGAATCACTTTCGACCGGTACCATGAAACACGTTCGTATGGGTACAAAAACGATCAACTACGTCAATTCGAGCTAGCATGTAAAGGTAAGACAATGAAAAGGTTGTACTCAATACAGCTTACGTTGGAATATAAAAAGAGGCGGAAACAAAAACAGGAAACCAACGAGTTTTACCTTCTCCAAATTTTTTGTATAATAAAACAGAATTTTCTTGTTGATCTAAGGGATCTACCAGGCATTTGCACTTGTATGCTGAATTACGTGGTCACGAGTGAGTGTTGGTGTTGCGGGATTGTCATTTTTATAATTAGCATTAGTGGTTCTCATGGTTCTCATGGAAATCCAGATATGGGGCGTTCATAATCGGGTCATGGAATTGAGAATGAGATTGTATATGAAAATTCATTGAGTGATAGAAAGATAGGACTAGATTGAGAATTTGAGGATTAGGAATTAGAGAACAAGAATCGAGGAATAACGAGAAGAATAGTCATGTGGTCTTGACAGGGGGAAAGAGACAAAATTTCAGAGGATAGGGAGATTAGAGTTGAGATACGTCTATGTAATATTACGCAAGTGCATTTATATAAGGAAATACTGAAATAACCTAACCCGACACAACCGCTAATGGCAAAATGAACACCTACATATATCCATTATGTTGAATCTTAACTAAATCATTCAACGTGTAATGTTAAAAAGAGAAAGAAACTTCGACGCCAACATGACCTAATACTTCAACCACATCCCCTTCTTCTGCTTTCTACACCTCCTCGCCATTGTCACTCTCAATTCCGATCAAGCCTTGAAGTTTCTTGTTTTCCAATATGGAGAAAATTAAAATAAACGGTAGATATAATAGATCCACAGGATCAAAATATTTATAGATGATGCAATTGATAAGATGGATTCACAAATTTTTGTCTGGGCATGTTTTAAAAAAATTGCTAAAACAAATGTGTATCATAATTTCAGTTCTGGAAAGAGAGAAGCTCGAATAAGAAATGTTTATGGAGAAGGAGAGGGAACGAAAGGGGAGGTTGCTCGTTATGAGTCTTAAAATCAAGATTTATAGGTTTACAATCCAATTTTACAATAACTCGATCAAATTTGACTCGCCACTAGCTCAAAAATTATCATATTTTAGGATCTAATTTCATGGAATGTAGCTGCATTGGCTAGGCTTATTTGGCTGTTTCTCCTCCAAGGAGGAAGCTTCTGGGTGGTCTAGATTTCTAGCTATAGACTCAGGGGAGTCTCGATCTGGGAGGCTCGAATCACCTCCTCGGGCTCCTGGATCTGGAAGCAAATTTTGAAGATCCGATCATGGTTAAGGTTTAGGATGGAAGTGGAAACAAGGCTACGTTACTTAGCAGGGTAAGAAGCTGGAAAATTTTTCGATCTTGATGATTTGGGGGTCGATCAGAAGGAAGCAGCCAAAAGTTGAATGGTGCAAAGTCATTAGCATGTTCTACCTCGAAATAGTGTTATTGCCGGGCTAATCATTCTTGATAGAATAGCCACAAGAGACAAATTGAAATTTTGGGGGCTTGCTAATGATAGCTCCCGTGTGCTTTGTGGGACAGCATAAAAATCTTGAAATCATTCGCTCTGTCAATGTGTGTATATGCAGGAATTTGTTGCTGTTTTCCTGCGAAACAAAGTGGACTTCCCAGTGGATTAGTCTGCAATGCTGCTGTTTATGGTAAAAAAAATCCAGTCCCAAGGAAGTTGTGGTGTGATTGAAGCCTCAGTTTGGTGTTGGTGTGTCAGTTTTGTATGGAAAGAGGGATTTTTTCCAGAAATACCACCCAAAAGAATAATTCGAAAAATATCACCCGTTTTCAAAAGTTTCCAAATTTACCGATCTTTTTCACAAACCGCAAAGTGGAGGCGCGATTTTTACCAAAATCGCAGGGTGTGACAGCGGGTTTTCAGAAAACTGTCGGGTTTGACCGCGTTTCGAAACTTTGGGTGATAATCGCAAGGGAGCTGCGTTTCACTTGGAAACCGTTGGCCCCCTTTGTGATTTACATGTTATGTTTTTTTTTTCCAACCCAATTAGTCTAATAATTAAGCCAAAAGAGCTCCATAAGGAATTATTAACCAATTGGTAGAGGTTTGTGGAGGAGAATGGACCAATTAGCAATGAGTGTAAAAAAGAATTATACTTATTAATTTAGTTAGTAAAATACGGTACGAGAAAGTTAAATAAAAAATACATATGGGTTTTTTACTCTTCTCTAATCTAATATTACGTTTAATAGTATGCTAATAGTCATAAATACATAAAATTAATTATTTTAAAAATAAGTAAATATATAAATTAATAGTAAAGTTAACAATTTAATTCATTAAATATGAATATTAAACATGTTATACGGATTTTATATGTGTTTAGTACAAGAGCCATCAAATGAACAAAAAAAATGAAACGACTTCACAATAATATAGATATGAAAGTTTTAAACGGATAAAATGCATACGGGTACATATATGTGTATTAAACATAGTATTTACTAACTATACTTATTATTAATTTTCTTCAATCCTACATAGTGTGTAAAAACAAACATGGAAAAGATGAAAATAAAAGTGATACCAATTAAGATTCACTAGCAAAAGGGCTAAGATCTGGTGACTAAGGGGGGTCCCTTAGTCACATGGCTAAGTGAATCTTAGACACTCAACTTCATTAAAATCTAAGGGCTTCAATTAATCCAAATTAATAAATGACAATATAGTAATTACATGACTTTATTAATTTTCAATTATTAATTAATTAAAAAAACTATAATTTTTCTGTGTCTCTTCCTTGCGTCTCTTTTTTTCGACGGTACCAGGCGGCATTTTTTTCGCTGCCTCTCTTCCGGTCGGATATTTTCCCGGCGGTGGACCATTTGGCCTGGGAAATATATATCCCCCCTTCCATGGAGTTTCTCCCGCGGAGGGAGGGAGGGAGGGAGAGGGAGGGAGAGAGAGAGAGTTTCGTCATCGGCGATTATTTTTGCCGACAGCAAGGATTTTTCCGACGACAACGTCTGTTTTGTAATGTTTGTTGGACGATTTTGTAATATTTGTAAGTATGTTTTGTGATTTTTTATCAGTTCGGTTTGTATCATTTATCATTCTAATTTTTCATTTTTATCTATTATGTTTGTAATGTTTACATGACTAGTTTGTAATGTTTGTTTATCTAGTTTGTATACTTTACGTTGTAATTTGTATACTTTGTATTCATTGATTTGTAATACAAGTTTACTGTTTTGTATTATCAGTAGTGCCATTTTGTACGGTTAGTATGTTTTGTAATGTTTGTCGGTCTAGTTTGTATTTTTTGTATAGTTCGTGTGTTCTGTATTGTTTGTAAATCTGTTTTTATGTTTTATCACCCTAGTTTGTATTGTTCGTATGTTTGTATGCTTTGTAC